ACCAGCCTCAGGTTCGTTCTAACTCAGGCCAGAAAGACAGGATATGAAGTGATTCTCTCAGCGCCAGAAATAACAGTTCAGCGCTGTAAGACCTCAGTATGCCCGTAACTCAAATTTGCAACTGTAAAACTACAGTCATGCTTTTTTGACACAAGATGGGTCTGTTGACCAAAGAAGAGTTCATTGTTGCCAGCAATTGTTGTTTTTTTGAATGAATATGAATTCATTACTTTCTTTTTACTGTTTCTCTTTGTTAGGCAGTACAGGTTTTAAGATGGATAGGAAAGGTGTGAAGAGACTGGAGATGCCACACAGCAAAGCACTACAGGTGGGTGTTGAAACCCTGGACGTTGCAGCAAGGACTCATTGGTATGATGAGGCCCCAGCTACCAGGGTTCTCCCGGTTCATTAATTCCTCTTTAAACCCACTTTTTCCCTAATATCTGACCTGAATGAGCCCTTTAAGGTTGGAAAACTGCTGCAGCTGGATTAGCTTGAGTCTTGAAGCAGGAAAGTCTTCTGCTTTATTACTTTGTTCTATCTGCAGTTCATACAGTACATAATCCAGAATGCTTCACTTTAATCAGTCTATTTAATTTATAATTAAAGACTAATATTAATATTTTATAGTGTTTCTGAGCTGAAGAGCAACTAATGGACAAACTGTTTTGACAATTAAAGGTGAAAGAGCAAAAAGTGCTTATTTTTCTAAGAGAGGATGCTTGTCATACTTCTGTCTGTTAGATCTAAACTGCAGAAAAAACTCAAACCAAACCATATCATACCATTGCATCATATTGATGCAATTGTGAAGCTTTCTGAGGTGGAAACTGTAAGATAACTGTTCTTGGTAGAGAATGGCACCTTAAATGAAAATATATTAATTTCCATATTGTATAATTTCTTGATTTTGGAGTTTTCAGTTAAGTCAGACTGTAATGTCACAAAAGAGCTTTACTGGTTTTATCTCTAGTTTTCAAACTGTGTTTTTAACAGAATGAGACTGCATTGTCACGAAACAGCTTATTTTGGTTAAAAAACACAGTTTTAGTGGTTATACCTCTTGCTTTTTAACTGTTCTGAGTTTTCAGCTCAGTCACACGGTAATGTTACAGAAAAGCTTTGTTTGATGTTTTAGTGGGTTTAGCTTTGTAACTGGACTTAGTTTTAAGCTCAATTAGACTGTACTGTCATGAGACAGTTTCTTTTGCTTAAGAAACACAGTTTTGGTTGTTGTAGCTCTGCTTTTGTTACTGGACTGAGTTTACGATTTATTAAGACTTTATTGTAACAAAACAACTTCTCTTGGTCAAAAAATACAGTTTTAGTGGATTTACATAGTTTTTTAACTGGACTAAATTTTCAGCTGACTCAATGAATTTTGTGACACAATAATGTCACAAAATTCTATTTCTTAAGAAATTTAGCGGGTTGAAGCTTTGCATTTGTAACTTGACTGAGTTTTCTGCTCATTCCTGTATTGTCAGAAAACAATTTATTTTGCTTGAAAAACAGTTCTAGTGGTTTTACCTCTAGTTTATTAACTTGACTAAGTTTTCAACAGAGTAAGACTGTATTGTGTATCTTGTTTTGCTGAAAAAGCAGTTTTACCTCTGCTTTTGTAACTGGGCCAAGTGTCAGTAGAGTGAGACTGTATTTTCACAAAACAGATTCTTTTTACCTCGTTTTTTAACTAGTCTGAGTTTTTTTTTTTTTTTCTGTGACAAAACAGCTTATTTTACTTAAAAAACAGTGCTGGCTCTTTAGCTCTTCTTTTGTAACTGGACTAAGTTTTCAGTTCACTCAGACTATTTTCACAAAACAGCATCTTTTGCTCAAGAAACACAGTTTTAGTGTTTTTAGTTCTGCTTTTGTAACAGGCCTGAGTTTTCAACAGAGTGAGACTGTATTGTCACAAAACAGCTACTTTTGCTTAAAAGTAGTTAAAGAGGCTTTACATCTAGTTTTTTTTATTGGCAGGAAAACACAATTTCAGTGGTTTTGGCGCTACCTTTGAAAGTCGACTTAGTTTTCAGCTCAATTAGACATTTTTTTTTGTGGTTTTACCTAATGGTTTTACATTTTAAGATACCTGCTCATGGTAGAGAATGACAGCTTAAATGAAAACAGTACTTATTTCCACAATTTGGTCTGCAGGCCAAATTAAATAATCATGTGAAACCATAAAAAACTTCAAATTAAATCATTTCAGAGTGTTTCTAAGCTTAAGAACCCCCTCATGCACACTTTGTTTCTAGAATTGCATGTAAAATAGAGAAAAGTACTTTTTTTTACTGAGAGAGATTACTTACTTACTAATCATACTTTTTTCTTTTAGAGCTAAACTAAGGAATTATACCATACGGAGTATGTAACTGCCATTTGTCACAATCTGACTGAACTGAAAACTTAGCCCAGTTACAAAAGCAGACCTAAAACCACTAAAACTGTGTTTTTTAAGCAAAATAAGCTGTTTTGTGACACTCCAGTCTGACTGAACTGGAAACTTAAAAACGAGAGGTAAAACCACTAAAATTGTTTTTTGACCAAAAGAAGCTGTTCTGTGATACGACAGTCTTTCTGAAATGAAAACTCAGTCCACTAAAAAAAAACTAGATATAAAACCACCCCAACTGTGTTTTTTTAAGCAATACTGCACAGTTAAGAATGTAGTGCCACTTTTTATCCACTAGATATCACTGCTGTAACTCATATGACTTCTGGTGACACACTAATGTGTGTGAATACAGTACCATTTAAAACTAGAGGCCTGTTTTGTGAAGGAGACTGAAAGAGGAGACTTGAATGACCCGATAAAAAACCAGAATAAGCTGCTATTCTGCTTCTATAGATTAATTCAGATTCCTCTTTTTATTTTCATCTCTTGTCAACAATCTAAAATTCATTATTACTCTTTCATAATCAGTGAATGACTATTTTAAGACAGAAATGTATGTAGCTACTTTAGATTCTTTTTTTCTTTTTTAGTTTTTTTCCACATCATGTCTGAAAGGACTTTGTCCTAATTTCTTTGCTATTATATATAGTCATGTAACCCACATACTTTTGCCTCAGGACAAATATGAGCAATGGGCTGCTCTTCACGTCCCTCTATGCATTGTGCTCTGTCGCCTTCAATACTGTGAACACAGTAGACTGCACAAGACAGCCTCATTATATCTTGCCTGGAGCTCCAGATACCAATCTGTATTGTGGATACTACCTGGCCCCAGGTTTTGCTGCATATCAGTTTGTTGCCATTTATTAAACATATCTATATTAATATCAATGAAATTATAAAAAAGGTTACTAGATTTTGACACATATGGCCTTTCCACAAGACAGGCTTTAAGATTAGGTAATGATGCCTTTTAAGGCTATTAGTATTTAGTTGACATTTTACTTCAGTGGTGTATATTCATGAACCAATTACTGTAATGCAGAGTGAATGTGGGGCTTTGGGGGTCATTGTGTGGTTATGGCAAAAGTGAAAATATTTAAATTTGAAATTAAATCACTTTGTGTACTTTTATTTCACAATCAAAATGTAAAGTACATCGTAGCAAAACAAAAACAATTTAAATAGAGCACACTGGCTTTAGCCCAATAGCTGTCTGCAATTTCCTGCCACATAGGGTTGATGTGGTCAGCTCATGTGAAAATAAAATAAATAAAATCAGCCTCTCGCTCCTGTTTTAATAAAAAAAAGAGTGACTAGTGAAAATGTTCACTGCCATCTTCATTGATTTCGTAGCTTTAATGTACATGTATTTAAATCCAGATTTACAAAGGCAGCAGCTCATTACACAGTCAGCTCCTGGACTGAACCTGGGATTGAAATGCCACATGCATTCTGGTTGTAGTGATTTGATTCCAAAACATGTTCTTTGCAGTTCAACTCCACCACTATTATACAACTACATTACAAAATGTGGTGTATCAACACTATTGTAAGAAGTGTTAGGTTTTTTTTAATGTATGTAGCCTAATAATGCTTATTTCACCCCGTGTCCACAATTTATATATTGTTGGTCATTTTAATTTAATATTCAGACTTTCCTCTCCTCTTTTCTGTTTAATTCTACACTGAGGAAGGCTGTGGTATATTTATAACTGATCATCAATTGTATGCACAGGCTGGCTGCTATGTGCTGTCTATGGAAAAGGAATTTATTGTTGGTTTGGACATCATGTTGCTGATTTTCTTCCACAATACTGTTCACTGACATTTAATGTAATTTATTTTAGAGCAGTTTAACTGCCTCACTTTTTCACTCTAGCCAAGTACATTTTTACAGTACTTGTGCATAACTAATATGTATTTAAAGTAACAGTACTTTTATTTGAGTACAATATTCTAGTACTCTTTCCATCCATAGACATTGGTCTATTCTCTATAAATCTCATTTTCCCTCAGCAATTTAGCAAGGCACAATGAATAGAGCCTTTAACAGCTCATGGTATAAGGACCCATTAATTACTAAAATTTGGTGGAAGAAGGATTCAAAATTTTGTTGTTTCTCCACCAAGTGAACCTACAATCTTTAAATCACAGTCAGGCTTTTGTTACTGAAAAATGCTTACTATAGAGCCTGAAATAAACTCCATTATAATACTAATGCAGATAATTGGGGGCAGGTGTGACATCACCTGTTTGTCTATTGTTGCTGTAAGTAGTAACAGGCTACCAAAATATGCATTAGCATTAGAATTTCCGAAAGGTTTTGCAACTACATACAAATGGATGGTTCTACTCCACAATAATGTAAAGTTGTAAAAGACAATGGAATGTAAGTCAGATAAGACATTACTATTCTCTTAAGTAGTCCATTATATTCAAATGTTATAATCGAACGTTATCGTTCAATTAGATTGTGTGGACCTATAATTACAGCCATTTGTCACTGATTAACTTCATTATTAATGCTAATCAATATGTTAGTATCGTCTGTGTTGTGTATTTGTAGTGACATACTTAAAAAGAAGCACCGGACAGAGAATAACATTTCATATTACTTTACTGTGTTCATGCATTTCACACCTTGAAATGCATGAACAATCTGTTGTGTTCTCTTTTCAAGTAGACAGCAGATACATAGTGCCACCTATTGGCCAGGAATAGGATTAGCTTTCAACAAGTGGGGTAATATCAAAATGCTTTCAAAACATCAAACTTCACCTAGAACAAAAAGTACAGTCCCTCTGTGTGTTTTTTTATGAACAAACCTTTGAGGGCATACATGTCTAATAGATACTGAAAATGGTAACGTGCCAAATCCAATACTCAGTTGTATCTGTTGAAAAGCAACTTACAAGATTTGGTCAAAATTGATGAGTTTAATACAAATTAGTTATACAAGAGGTGAAGTGAACAGAAATAATTTTCACATTTCTCTTACTGGTTGACATGTTTGGGAGCCATCATAACTTGACTGATTGAGTGATTGATTACTTGATTATAACACCAGGAAAATGTCATGGTAATTACCATAGGTGGTCATTGCAAAAAATGATATGAGTCAACAAGGAAAATGAAAGCAGCTTCACTTTACCTTAACATCTTGGGCATTTATCATGTTGTGGGAGAAGCTTTTTAGCTAACCAACAAGCTTCTAACTAGCAGCACAAATAACAGCATCCTGGTGAAAGAAAATAGCGGAGGTGAATTATTAAAAGCATACACTATACATAACAAGAACCACATTTATACTGCAATTAATACTGTTAATATTATTCATATTACTATCATTATTAAACACTAAACTACAGCCAGGCACATAGCTTCAGGCTGACAAGTTCATCTGAAAGAAAAAACTCAAAGTGACATGCAAACGTTCTCTTCATCGTCCTCGTTTCCATTCTTCATGTCTTTCTTTCCATCATCAGTGCAGTATATTTATTAAAAGTAAGGTTTTTGTTCACAGTTTTTTGTCCACCTCACAACAGTGAGAGCTCCTGTTGGCTCAGGTTTCAGTATCAGCAGCTGCCATTGGCTGAGCATGGAGAGCTCTGGTTGGTTCTCAGTCTGTTTGGCACATCATCCAGTTGGCTTCAGACTCTGGTGATAAAACCTGCATGTGCGCGTGCAAATGTTAGGGTAGAAGTGTGTTCTGCATGTTATAAAGTATGTCATAATGTGTACTGATGTACTGTACAGGTGATTAGTGTCTATGTTGCTGTAATGATCTGCTGACCTATGAGAGGAATGGGCCTTATTTCTCATATATATTTGAACTACTATATTTTTATGAAAATAGGGCACTCTACAACTAATTAAGTCCTCCTCAGCGTTGTATAATGTTATTCTGTGGCACTGGAGTAGCATTGTTAAGTCTGAGATAATAACCCTGACAATGTGGATAAAAATGGCAGGGAGAAAGAGAGAGAGAGGACAGTCCACCAGGTTCCAGAGATCAACAGTAACAGTCGTATTGGTTTGAAAAAATCCAGGTTATTCTAAAGCTTTTCAAACTGAGATATCCCAACCACTGTTGAAAAGTATTAGATTATGTTTTTTGATGAGGCTACACATTTATAACACAAAATCTGTTTCAAACTAGGGGCATATATAGAGTTTGATAGATGCAGGCATTTTTTCCAGCCAGGAAGGGTCAATGGAAACCATACTAATTAAACTACGGGAACTGTAGGATTCTGTGTTTTTGGAACTTGACCCATATTGGGGACTAAAACTCAAGCAGGGTACATGAGTTTCCCAACTTTGTGAAAGTGCAGCACGAAATCAGACAAATTTTCTCCTGTCTTGTATATTTTTAAACTCACGAAATACCTTTCCCCCGGCTCCTTTACTCTTTCAGCTCACGTAAAAGCCTAACCAGGCACAGGGGCTGTAAATTAACTTCAGCTTGACAACCTACATATATTAAATTTCTTGCATAAGTGCATTCAACATCAGTATCTATTTAGGTAGAGCAGTGCAAGTCAAACACATTTAGGTCATGTTCCTAAAAGATTAGTGAGGAGCATATTTAACAAGTCATGTCAATGGAATACATAAACTGCAAACCAAAAGTACTGATTAGCTAATACAGGCACAGTATAAACTTTCAGACAACAGACTTTAAACAGCCATATTGTGTGTATTTGTCGATACAATATCTGTCCCGTCGCCCTTACATTTGCCATGAATTTTTACGTCATGTTTCAAGTTTATTCATTTAACTTACTGCACTAACTAACTGCGTGCAATGGGCTGTGAGTACTACCAGTACACTTCTGAGTAAACTATAATATTGTGGTTGAATATACAATATAGGAACTGAACAGAAACTAACTGAAGTCTGTTGTGATGTTTTCACTTCACTTCTGTGCGGTTACCATGATTGAATACCTAGGTGGTTTCTCACCCGCAACCACTACCTGGGTAATATATGGGTCCAGTGTTTTTCTTCTGTGTCTGACAATACTCTAGGTAATATCTTCCGAAATGAATGCATTAACTGTAATGCTGTTGTTACCACTGAATAATAAGACAGTTGTTTATTGACTTCACATTATCTATAATTGCTATAATAAACTTTTGCTATACCCTACTGACTATCATATGGTCAAAGTTGTGTGCTTCACAGACAAAACAATAAGTTTGAATGTTAAGATACTGCCTGTAATAAGAGCAAAATGTAAACTAGTAAGTAAAAGTCATTTACAATAATACTTAAGTTAAGACACTATAAAACCTATTAATATGATACTGTACAACTTGTAAGCACAGTAGTGCTACCAAGAACCAAATGCTAACTAATCAAATTAAATACAGTAGATTAAGTACAGTAGCATATTTGTGTCTGAATACAGTTAATGTGTTCTGGATTTAGTTTGGGCATTTAATCTGTGAGTGGTGTAGTAAATTTCATAAAAGCCACTAGATGTAGGATTTTTTAATGTTATGCATTTCAAACTATTGTTTTTTTTATTGTTTTTAGTTGAAAAACTAGTCTCCTCAAATTTACATTTATATACAACTAATTTGCAACAGCAAATACGTTTTGAGGGAAATGCATTGTCGACCAAATGTAATTTTCGGTTACCATAACGAGGAAAATTTGTTAGTTAACATACCTGGCAATTCACAAAAATGCTAATACTGAACTTAACTATTTATTTCTAGTGACTACAGCATTATTCAGCTTTTTAATGGTTATATTTAGGTAAAGACTGGCGTGTTTTAATACAGAAAAAGCAGCACTGATTTGAGACATAAGATTTTTTAATAACATTTAATTGATATCACAGTCTTTCCCTAACCTTAAAAAGTGCCTTTGTTGCCTAAGCACAGGCAGCGATTTCATTGCCATCATAATGTAAAGATGAATTCAATTTAGTAATATATAAACGTAATTTCTAGGAGACACTGGTACAATCTATGTGTTGCTCTCAAACTAGTCAGTGTCCTTAGGTTGCATTTGTTTTTTTGATGCTACCACTAGGTGTCAGAAATGTTGACCAAAGTCTGATGTGTTCAAATGGATTCAAAATAAAGTAATAAAAGTGTAAATATTTAGTTTTTGCCCATCCCTGTGAAGTGCATGTTACCTAATACAGTACTAGTGGTTTTGTTTATGTTCTTTTGTACAAGTGTTTGTCTGTCTGTCTGTCTGTTGTGTGTGTGTGTGTGTGTGTGTGTGTGTGTGTGTGTGTGTGTGTGTGTGTGTGTGTGTGTGTGTGTGTGTGTGTGTGTGTGTGTTTGTGTGCGTGTGCCAGTCCATGCATCTCTTGGGTCTGGTAAAAGACTCTTCTAATCAGGGATTTTCAGGCAGAAATAAGGAAATCAATTAGGAACAATAACATCATTATCATTATATTCTATCACACAATTACTATTGTTTTATTATTTCATGGATGTGATTTTTCAGGACGACTGTTTTTGTTCATAGCTCTTGCACTCACTTTAACAAAGACTGCTTACAGTAGTTACACAATTCCTAATCACATCCCTGATTAATGTTATTGCATTAGGTCAGCATCACTATTGTCCTTATTTTCTATACAAGAAGAGCCTCCATGGCAAAAATCTAAGAAACAATGATGTGTTTGTTTAGAAAACTGTCAACTGTGCTTGATTGTTTTTTATGAATTTGTAAATCACCAGCCATCTTTCTCACTGAGTGTCAAGTGATTCACTTTGTAGGTGGGCAGATCTTTGCTGAAGCCTGGCAGCCAAGTGGTAAGAGGACAACATCTATCCAGTCTATCTAGGTACGATGTTAAAAAGAAAGAGTCCTCAAAGAGATATGATTGACTAAGCTCCAGATTGAAAATCGGGGAAGATCACCCACGGTGAGTGGCCACCAAACAAGATGACAAACATTTCCATTCACTTTCAGTGGGGAAGGGAGGATGTGTCTCCATTTGCTATAAGGCACTGGCTCGGGCGTGGTCAGGAAAGATCAGTCATGCCGAGGCTCATGGGTAATCCTGGACGGAGGTAAGCCACCGGGACACGGCCATTCTCACTGGTTGATCCTGTGATGGATAGACGAGCTTTGGAGCGCATTGCATCTGTGAACTTCATCTGTACAAGGGAAAACATTTTTACCATGTTTTAATCATTAACACCAAAAACCAAACTACATAGACAGCTGCTTCTGGTAGACTACCTGAAAATGAACTTTGAAGGATTGGCTCATTATTTTGGGAAATATGCTTATTTGCTTTGTTTCCATAATTTATATGAAAAGATTGACATCAGTCTCATTTCTGGCAGAAAAGTTATTTGACTATTTATCCATCTATCCAACACCTCTGTGTACTGTCTGTGGTTATATAATAGATTGCCAGATACAGTCCACACACACAGGGGAAGATAAATAGATTATTATATTAGGTTGTAGATGTGATGTAAAAGTATTTCCATCCAGCGAACTGATAAAACTGAAACTACATGTTCTACATGCGAAATAAGACATCTATAAGCTAAGCTTCTTTTCCTGACAATTCTGCTCTAGATTTCTATCTTTTAAAAAAAGGAAATTGCAATCGGTATATACGATAAAAAACAAAGAAACTATTTACAGATTGACAAAGTTGCACATATTCACTGTGGCCAGCTGTTGAAATAGTTCCAGTGTGCAACGCCTCCCCTAATACCACAAATTGCTGTTTTTATATTTCTTTTTATGTGCGTGTTAAACAAATTAAATACATTAATTATGTAAATTAGTGAGCTTTTTCATTGCAGGTAAGCTTATTATTCTCTCTGCTTCCAGTCTTTATATTTAGGCTAACCATGTCTTGACTCTGACTCTGTACTTCACACACAGATGTGCGTTTTATATCCATCTCAGTCTCAAAAAGACGGCACAAAAGCACATTTCCTAAAATGTTCAACTATACCTTGAAATGATGAGCAACCCAATGCAATAAAAAATAAGACATGTGGTGCAAGACTGTAATGTAATATAGAAATTAAACTCACTTTGATGAGCATTCAAAATATGGTATGCACTTTCATTATCGGTAAAATACAAAGAAAGGAATGTCTTTCTATATATATATATATATATATATATATATATATATATATATATATATATATATATATATATGTCTGCCCTTCACATATCTGGAGAAGTGTACACACTTGGTGGGTCTATTGCTTAGGACCCAAGGGAGTGCAGTGTTCTGTGGAAGCTCTTCACACCTACAGGAAATACTTGTTATAAAAGTTTTGTCTTTTGCTAAACTTCAAATCTAGCTGTTAGCAACGACAGCAGCCAGTTAATTTTCTATTGAGAGAAAACTTAATAGTAGTTAGTTAATGTGTTATTATGTAAAATGTAATTTTTATATCCAATCCCATCCATAATTGTGTTCTGGGCAACACAATTCAATGGCCCTGACTGCTCAATATGGGAATATATGTCACTTGAAGTAAGTACTGCAGTGTGTGTGACATCAGAATTTAACAACTGTGACATCAAATCTTTGTTGCAGACCACCTTTGCTGATGCTAACATGCCTAAAGATAGCCATGTAAAGTTGGAGCAGATGTGTGAGGCAAATCACTGTCCACATGCAGCTGAGTCAGACACAGCATGACATGCATGCGTAGTTCAAGACTGGGCAAGCCACAGCCCTGCATGGGACAAGGCGCCACCAGGGATGTGAGTGGAGCGTTGGGCAATCAACGACGACAGAGCAATCTGGAAGCTGGCTGTCACTGTTCACCTCAGAGGAGGAAGACTTCAGACAATTGATACTATGCATTCAGCATATCAGCCATTATCATATGTACTTTTACTGGATTGCGGTCCCTAGAGGTACCACACTGAGCTGGTAAGAATCACACCTAGAAAATAATTCTGCAGCGCATATTCTGAATGTGTCTTGGGGAATGTAAACAACAGCAACAACATAGTGACAATACTTAATCTTCACATACGAATGAGTTTCCATCCACTTTAACTGTATTTGAGCACCAAGGTAAACACAGAGTCTGCCTTCTCTTGTCCTGCGCCCTGCTTGATCCAAATGATGGAGCAGGTCTTTGTAAAGATGTGGGGACAACAATGAAGCTAAAATTCATTTTCATTCGTCATTATTTGGAGCTGGAGTTGGTGCTGCTGTATCAGAAAAAAATAACACCCGGACTTACATCAGTGTGATAAGAACTGCCTAAAATAAAAATATTTAGGAAAAAGGCCCATGCTAACATGGAGGCAAGAGACTTATGACCTATACTGCCGTCAGCCACCAGTGGGTGAACCAGATGTTTTGGCTTCATGGTTGTACACCTCCCCATAATTGGCTTAAATTCAATAAAATTTTATTTCTATAATGCCAAATCCTAACAGGGTTATCTCAGGATACTTTTCAAATAGAGCAGTTCCAGACCACACAACTTTACACTGAGCAAGAACTTCAGCCTCCCTGAGCCTGATCAGTTTTCTGATGACTCTGCTGTGGTTGGATGTATCAATCAGCAAGGGTGATAAGACTGAGTACAGGGCCATGGTGGGTAACTTTGTCACATGGTGTGAGCAGAACCATCTCCAGCTCAATAAAGAAAAAGGTGCTGGTTGTGAATCTTAGGAAGGCCAAGGACCACTGACCCCTGTTTCCAACAAGGGAGGGCCAGAGCATCTCTATTTTCTGAGGAGGCTGAGGTTCTTCAACATCTGCCAGACAATGCTGAGGATATTTTATGATTCTGTGGTGACCGGGGCTATCCTATTTGTGTTTGTCTGCTGGGGAAGCAGGTTGACAGACTCAACCAACTTATCCGCATTTTCTTTTGATGTTTTTGTATTCTTGCTCAAGATGAAAAGAAAAAAAGATTTCCATTTTCAGCTATATAAAGAGGTGTTCCATGCCAAACGTGCATTGTTTGGCACATCTTTAGGCCCACTGACAAAATCTTTTGGCCCAGTGTATGACCCATACCTGGGGAACCAACTGGTACCAACCAGAAGGTTTATGAGGTTGCACTTCATGCAGTCTTGTGTAGGTATATGTAGTCTTGGCTAGGTGGATATAGTCATATACCATCACGGTGCTGGAGTAAGATTGTTCCAGTATGTACTAGTTGCATTACCTTGAAATTATATGAAGCTAACTGGGTGCCAGAATCATGCACTGACAAAGCATGGAGATCATCCACTTTCTTTAAGGAACACCAAGCAAGGAGAAGTCCAGTCTTGTATGAAAAAAACCTACAAAGGACCTCAAGCAACAATGTGAAGGAATACTGGACTTACATTATGTGTTATGTTCCCAGTGGGAATTCTCTCTTGAGGTAAACAGATCAACAAATGCTCTGCCCATATATTCAATATTTGAGCAACCAGCAGCTGATGTTACCTGCACTGTCTTATAGAGAGACACTCAGGTCAGAAGTCATTGTTTAGAACAACAAATTCCGGCTGTAACAACATTTGTTCACCTCTGAAGGAAGAACCACCTGAAATTGTAACTGATAACCCATCGTAACTGTTTCTCTTTCTACACATGCTTAACCTTTGCATGCACATCACTCTGGGAACCGACTGGAAGCTGACTGACTGCACAGAAAGGAGAAAAGCTACAGCCCTATGGTGAGCATCTATGAACTGAAAGGGAATTGTGTTAGTAGTCTGTGGTGATCCCAAGCGCCAACCTGGCTGGCAAATGAAGCCAACATGGAAGTAACATAAACTGCAGTTCCTCTATTAGCCAATTGGCTACAGTAATGAGAGATTGCCCTAAGGTGCTATATTAAAATGAAACTTGTAAAAAGATGTTACACAAAATGGTTTAAAAATGGTTTTGGCTTGCCACTGCCAAGGACAAGGGCAGACTGCAGCATATCATTTGATCTGCTGAGAAGGTGATCGGCTGCAATCTGCCAGCCCTCCAGGACCTGTACGCATCGAGGACACTGAGGCGTGCAGGCAAGATTGTGGCTGACCTCTCCCACCCCGGACATAAGCTCTTTGAAACACTTCCCTCTGGTAGGAGGCTGAGGTCAATCAGGACCAAAACCTCACACCAAAAAAACGTCTCTTCTTTACGTCTGCAACTGGCCTCATTAACAAACCTAATTCTGATTCTGAATTCTGATTCTGATTCTAGAGCGTAAGAACTGAGCAATGACTGTGGTGACTGACACAGGTCATTAGTCTTTTAGGTGTAAATAGAGGTGTGTTCAATCAGGCCATAAAAGACGTGTGATATACCCTACTGTATGTGTTGCACTGAGTAAATTGACTGAAAGATGCTATTTACCACTGTAACACAGTCGTATTACACTTAAGTTTGTTCTACAAAGGTGTCCAGTATTTGATTATGCTACCATCTTTTAAATTAAATCTAAGATGAAACATGGGAGTGAGTGGCCAATGAGTCAGTCAATAAAGAGGATGATTGGCTATAAAGTAAGTAAGGAGTAGGATAAACAAGGATAACACTGAGGATCAGGGAAGGAAAAAAGTAAAAAGGGAAACCTTGAGATGGGTGAAAACACGAAGAAGGAAGAAGAGGACTGGAAATAAAGAAGGAGAAGAGGGCAGAGGAGAGAGGGTAGGATGGGTGGTAAAGAGAAAAGGTAAGAAATAAGGGATAGAGGAAGTGAGCAAGCTGTTGGGTAAAGATTGTACAATGGAAAGGAGTATCACAGCCACATACAGTTTTGACCAGATACCTTGTAAGCAGTTTTTACACTCTATGTGGTCTCATTTTTTTGTTGAGAACAGCTGCATTCACATCATGCCCTGAATGTACAGTAAATCATACCACTCAGCTATGCAAGCCAACCACCAATGGCAATGTTTGTCTCATTACTGTGATGATTTTAAGAAGCAAATATAAGACAAGTACATGCATTTTAATAAAATCATTTTCACTTTCACAGTTTATATTGAGCTTTATCTTTGTAAGAAACGGAAAACATAAGCACTGGGCTGATAAGGGTCTCTTTTGGTGTAAACATTACATAAAATGTTTGCCCTATTGCAAACCTGCATGATTATGGCTATAAGAATGGCCTGTACTATAATAACTAAATTCACATCTCTTGTGCTGTTTCTCTTTTAAATA